TTATAGTTCAACAACGGGTCGGCATAGTTTATCGAAGGGCATATGTGCCGGTTGCCCTGTAGACACAGTTTTTAGCATCTGCATTTCTTTCCCCTCCTCGCTTCACTGTTACGGCCAGTTGATGCGCATTTGGACTAGAGCACATCCTTATCCCTTACCACACCATCTCAAATGTAACACTCAATTTGACTGGGGATGCAGCCCAAATAAAACGTGCCATAGCTCCGTTCATCACGGTGTTTTTGCAGCGCAACCCGCACGTAGAAGTTTGTATAAAGACGCCCGAGTGGTAACAATGGAGAGACAAATCAGAAATACGGACGCGAAGAATTATACAAAAGCCAAATTCCAATGCCAAAACATTTTCAAAAGTAAGTAGCTTTTAGGTAAGAAATAATATTTTCCTTAGTCGGTACGACATTAACGGCGTTTTTTAATACGAAAAGAGAAGGAGGTTTGCAGAATGCTGCGCTGATTTACGATATCGCCTAAAGAACCCATAAGCAACGTTTACTGAAGGCTGGCAAAAGTGCAGTGCCGGTCCTAAAATAAGCCTAGTCTGCTTACGCATAACGGAGAAGTTGTACCTGTGCTCGTCGATACGGTAGCAGCCAAGATGGGTGATGAAACTGCATTGATAATTCTTGGAAGGGCTGAAATCAAGGCCATACTACAGCGCGGGGAATATATTTTAATGGAGATGGAGCTCATATGATGGATTTACATTCAGTTTGAGAGCTCGTGCATCGTTTGCCAAGACGCGAAGCGTAGGCGGTACTCGAAGACAAATATTCACCAGCACTACGGCGTCTCAAGTTGAAGATCGCGTTACGCACGCCGGCAGACGAAGGCTGGCTCACGCGAGTATGTCATACTCGGCAGACGGAGACCATTAATCAGGCCACACATCCTTCTACGGGCAACCCAGTCTCCACTGTGCGTGACGCGTGTAGCTATCTGTCGGGCTGTGTGTGTGTGTGTGAACAGACTCGCATCTTGGAATCCGGACGTCACAACCACGCCTCAACGGTGAAGTACGTACGGATTTGCAAAAACCAGAGAGTCGGCTGATAAATGCGAAGCCGTGCCTACTGTTGTAAGGCCTGTATCTTAAATGCGGATGTTCATACACAACTTCACGCCTCGAGGAGGTAATAAAAAGGAAGATAAATGGAATAACTACGTCAGAAAGGATCTTATCCTTTTTAGGGTTAAGGAGAAACCCTATGAGCTGTAGAAAACTAACTGTGTTATCCACTGGGCACCAAACAGACGTTTTTTTCTCCATCCTGAGCAGCTTAAACGCAGTGTGTGAAAGGCCGGACAGCTTGTTAATAGCATCTTTTTCCTTACCGTCAATATGGCGAAGGTTTTCGGTTAAGTGACATAGAGTAGTTCGAGTAACTCATGGATTTTTACGAGTAACTCCCTGATATTCAAAGGTAGCCCAAGATGTGACCCCAAAAGACGTATTGTGATTTATCGAGGAATATTACGTCGTTATGAAATACAATTTTTTTTTAGCAAAAGAGAATATTCCAAATAGTTAACATTCATTCTACAAGGTCAACTTAATTTTCAAATGTAGAGGAGGTCTGTTTGTGCAAAAAAATGGAGTGAATATAGCAGCGCAAGTAGAACTACCTTTGAAAATGATGGTTTTGTAAAATTGTCGGATACATCTGCTTTTATATGGCGTGCAATGACATTTATGGACGTTACCGAACAGCACAAATGTCCACTATGAATTCCAACACGTTTTTACGAGAAATGCTAGTTGTTTTTTTCCATTTATACATTGCTTGAATTACGTTGGACTATAGCAGCCACGTTTTCGCTTGATTTTGCCCATTGGGAGGTCACAGCAGTTAGAAATTTTGTAACTAATAAATTAATTTGGTGTTTCCGAGTGCAATCGTAAACGTTCCTTGTTCTGTACACTAAGATAAATTCCCTCCGCCAAATTTCTGCGCAATTATTTTTGGATGTCGATTAGAAAGAGGTTCAGAGCTTCCATGAAATGGTATCTAAAGCTTAACGATTTTCACTGGCTTCAGTTTATTGAGCATAAATAATGTGAATCATATACGCACTTACTAAAACCTTCAAAATAAGATATTTCGTAAAAGCATTTACATTAATAGCATTAAAAAGTAAACATTCCTTTTTACATAACTTACTTTTCTGGTCATAGTTTCAGAATTATCCAAACATCTCAAGGCATTGCCGAGAAAAATGAACGCATACAAGAAAAACCGCGAATAAATATACCTACGATTGGTTAAACACTGTCTATAACAAGCTTGGACTTCAAAAAAACAATGTACTTACATCTTCTGCAAAAAACAAAAGAACTCATTTTTCTATGTATACCGGGGCAGTTTATAGTAAAATGCTGCTATGACACTCGGATTAAGTTCTGTCAACACAACTCCGTTTCATGCAGGTCGGCACAGTCTGATACTATCAAGAGTAATACTGAAGTTTCCACCAGTTTTATTGCCCCTTTATCCCCTAATTGCTTATGTGGATCTTTTATTACTTTAGACAGCTTAAGCCCGCAAGTTTCGTGCTTTGATACGGTCAAGACTTCTAAGGTGGTTTGATTTAGCACCCAAGAAACCGTTTATATAGAATTCTGTGTAGTTTTGTTGCAACGCCTATCTAGATTCAAATATAAACGTGAGACAGGTGTGCTGCAACGTATCTACTTGCATTTGCTAATTTGTGATTCTGACTACGGTTTTGGTTAGCAGCTGTATTGGGTTCAGTTTTGAGACTGTGTCATAGAAAGAGGAGAGTTTAATAAAAAGCTTTTGCCTCCAAGACACCTTATAGGCAGATTGATTTTCATAAAAAATGGCAAACCGCGCTGCCTCAAATAACCAGACGTTGAGAGCGCTACCTATATTTGTAGATTTAGACAGCCAGTGGTATTACGTATGTGAAAAATCCCAGAGGACTAAAGCACGACGCATAATTCGTGCGAAATGCCGAAGTTTATGAAAGATTAATAAGCCCTCGCAAACTGACATTAAAGCGTCTACGAAAACGGAGAAAGAATAATAAATGTTAAGAAAAAATGTAATTTTCTTAATGATCCCAAAGCTCTGGCTATAAATAACCAAAATTAACGGAAGGTGCTATCGAGGATGATACCTATGCCGATATGGGCGCACACCAATGCATAAGAACTTAAACTCGTTCCATTGCGTTTTAGGGCCTGATCTCGAGAGCCGAAACTTGCCTGCAAATTAGGCTCTGCTACACTCGCACGAAAACGTCTGCGTCGCTAATATGGTAATTCTTGTCTGGGAATCAGAATAACGAGGCGCTCTATCGCTTACTACACTTTACAGTATCATGCTGTTGGGTCTGTGACTGTAAGACCGAGAGGAAAACTCAAACACAATCATGTGACATCAAGTGCGCCCGCTCTCGTTTAACGAATTCTGCATTTTTACGTGATTAAGACAAGAATTAATTACCACGAGACATCTATTAGAGACATCCTGCCAAGTGCCAACGGCAATTGCAAGACACCGGGCTCTTGGAGCAATGGCTAGGGCGTTAGACTCTGATCAAAAGGCCGAAAGTTCCACATTTGGATGGTGCACAACCTATGATTGGGTATGACTGCTTGATGTCGGCTACTTAGCCAGAACTAACCACTGCAGACCCCCTTTTATTTTGGTAATGCAATTCGGCCTAAACTACATTTAAGTCGTCGAGCCACTGCTGGAGGAAATGGCGGATTTAGTGGAAGGCGGATTTGTATGCGTCTCCATACATTTGTGTACAGTTCCTATCGAAACCGGCAAGGCAAACGACCGCCGCGCAGAAGTTAGGGCATTGAAAGGCTAACTGGTAAGGTAGCGGGTTCGAGTTCGGTGCCCGCCACTGCTGAGAATGGATATGGCGGGCTGATGAGGCTAATAGGTCAGATCTGGCTTCTTACTTAGTCTGTCTGGCACCATAAAATTGCAACTGATAAAAAATAGTCGCTCGCACTATGAACCGGTAAAAATCCCATGAAATCGGGTTGCAAAGTCGTGTAGGGCTCTGACATTCGTATTAAAGGCATATTCGAGCCTAACGCATGCTGGCATTCGGAGATGTGTACAACAACAACCACAGGGTTACAGCGGCAGTATATGTTTTCGACTTAAATGACGTACATCCGTTTTGTACAGATTGATATGGTTCAGGATTTTCAAAAAAACGCGTTCACAATCTTCTTTTTATCAAAATATGTATTGGGATGCATACGCTTGCTTTCCATAAACTCGCTTCAGACCTGAACATTAATAAGGTAATGAAAAAAGTTAACTGTCCATATACTCTTCATCTACGCCCACCCTATTCAGAGAGATAAAGGACACATTGCCAATCCAGACCAACTCTATATCCATCTCTTAATTCACCCGCTCCCGTAGGATATAATATTTTGTTTGCAGGAGTCGCCTTCGGACATGGTGGGAGAAGGGCCAAGTAAAGGGTATTAATTTTACTATTTTAGCGCACATGGTAGGCTCAAACGATCGCGTGAATACTAAAGAGGCTCTTTAGCTATTCAAAACTACCTGGACAGCCTCGGTTAGCTACAGCAGAAGCGGTGACAATCAGGCTACGCAGACCGGGACTGTGAGCCCAAAAAAATGTAACAGGGCCACAGTTACCATTGGTGATAGTCGCTAACACAGCCGCACACGGCGTTTCGCCAGCCTCGGAAAGGGGGCGGCCCAGAGACATAAATATTCACAATAAAGCACTGCATACCTTAGCACCTGTCTTACCCAGAGGCCGGCCTAGATATTTTTACCTCAATTGCCCAACCCCCTGCCGATGCCCCCACCAACAAAGAGACTACTTCTTTCAACAAACCAGTACACTTTATTGATTTCATTAGCATACAGCTGTAGAGGTATGAAGAGGATTTATTGAAAGAAAATGTATGCTAGCCAATTATACTTTTGATCTTCACAATGGGTCTCTTTTAATTAAATAGAAGCAAAAAGCCAGACAAAAAGATCATAGTCAATTCTGTTTATAATGCGGTAGCGTGTTTGCTCAATTCCATCGTTTCGCCAGCGGGCAGTTACATTCTCTTGAGTAATTAGTGCGAATCTTTCAGGATTGCGTTCACGCGCATGATTTGAATCAAATTCGTCAAAAATTCCCTCGCGCGGTGCAGGTAGATCCACAGTCATATTGTTCAGTTTTAATCGCATATGCATGTCGTCATCTTCACCACCCCAACCGAAGAAAATGTTTGAAGCGCCATTCATTTTCGCTACGTGGTCCCATGTGAATGCTGTAACGCCTCCCAAAAATGCGGTGTACATCCTGGAAAAAATAAGATAAGCTTTAAGACACTCAAAGGAATGAAAGGGTCTGGCTTGTAATATAAACCATGACAATATGGTATGGCTATGATTTCGCCTGATGATATTTTTTTACATTTATTGGTCAAAACTAAAAAATATCGGAAATGTTATGGAACTTTTTCGGATCTTGAGGTTCATTGAACTCTTGGAGATTTTTATAAAATTACAAACAGCACATTTTATATTTCTTAAACATATAAATTCATTTAGGTTGATTCGCTGTTCTTTAAGGTCGCACGTATATCCGTAAATACTGATTTGGGAGTGAATATCAATCGTTCACAAATGTTGGTACTCTGCATGAGTTATCGCCCAATCTATACATACCACCCATTTGCCTCGATGTATTGTCCTGCAAGTCCTGCAAACAATTTTCATGACGAAAGTTAACTTGGTGGTTTGGCATAAAGGTGGACAGGTTATTTTGATGAACTGAGTGGATTTGATAATTAGAAATGCTTTAGTTTGGAAACCTGCCATTTTAGTTTAAGTTATGGATCGAAATAGGCACTAATTTTTACTTTATATTGAGTAAGTTTATATCGAACAAATTTCCTATGTTATATGGTATGACAGAACCAAAGGTTTTACTAATATGCGTTGTGCTGTTGAAGGATTCCAGAATAAGTAAAAAATTGGAATATTACTCCCTTCCAGAACTGGAAAATTTTGTGCAAAGTTGATAAAATGGAAGTGGAGCCAACTTCAAGGAACCGAATTCATTTTTAGAAACAAAAACAATTTAAGTTTTAAAAATTACATTTTGGTATTCTGTTAAGTTTTGTGTCATAAAGTATATATGTAATTTTGTATGACAAAATTGTTTTACTCCACCGACAACTATGAGCGCATAAGCAATTTTTAACATATATATTACCGTGAAGGTTATGTGGAAATATACATTTTTGTAAACTAGACGTTCAGCTTATGTATTATAAAGAAACGGAACAGACAGGAGAATAATAAGTATTTCAAAAATGGCCATATATGTGGCCTGTTTTTTTGCATTCACAAGCTTATAATGGATCGTGGAATTAATCCCCTTAAGCGAAAAATAATCCGTTATAAAGAGAAAAGTATGTTTTTTCAGCGGCAGTCAAATTAAATCGTTTATCTTCAGGTAAATCAAAGAAGGTGTCAAAAGTCTCAAATATCCCTGTGACATTACCTCGGAAAAAGTTAATATACACAGACGTTCGTTAGTTAAATATCCAATAGAAGCACTTTTTAAAGAGGTAACCTATTATGAAAACTTTTTATTAATCTTAGGAATAACAATATGGGTGGTATCTAGCAGAAAGTTTGTATGCTCGACAATGCGGTTTGCTGTTTTGAAGCATTTATGAATATGGCCTACATAGCCATCTTCCTAAGAACTAATATCTGAAAGCTCGTTTATTCGGTAAATGCTGTTTAGTTTTATCTTATTTTAAAGGTTTAAACGTAGACGTCAAACAGAAGCGCAATTTATCAACTTATCAGTGAAGACATTGAAAACGAGCGAAATGATGAGAGACTTTATTCCACGATATTC